TGGGCTTCTGACAGGTCAGTGGGGTGGGCAGGATGCGACCCGGGGGGTGGGCGATGGGCTGGGCATCCCCACCCTGCTCCCGTCTCCCCCAGCACCTTTTTATTCCTTATTTGGAGTTTGGTTGTAATTGAATGAGATGGTTGTCCTGGCTTGGTTTTTTATTTTATCAGGCTTTTTTTTAATCCAGGGGGTCAGTGAGATGATGATGCTTAGTGGCTTACAGAGAGGAGAAGCGTTTGGTAGAGAGGAGTGTCCCCAAATTAACCTCGTTGCTGTCACCCTTGGCCGTGGCAGAGCCCACCCTGGGCTCCTTGCTAGGAAGATGCTGTCAGCCAAAGTCAGCCTCCTTGAATCAGGGCTAGATGCTTCTGGAAAGGCTGATTTTCCCCTGCAACCCCAAAAACTGGGGTGGTGCTCAGTGGGAGGGTCCTGACCCCCTGGGAGCCCCGGGGTCTGGAAGCTCTCATTGCTTTCCTTTCTGTGCCCACAGCCCCAGCGAGGAGCCGGGCAGCCCCCAGCAGCAAAAGCCCAAGCAGGTGAGAGAAAAATCCCTTCTCCCGTCCCTGTTGCCACCATCCCCTGCTGCAGGCTGTCCCCAAGGGCTGGGGACATCAGAGACCCCAAACCCAGCCCCGGGTCGGGGGGGGGGATGAGCTTTTCAGACCACCTACTCTAGAGCAGATGAGTAGAGGAAATCCCACAGGCTTCTCCTGCTCCTTTTTGTACCCTTCCAAACCCCCACTCTGTCACTCTGAAGCATCCCAGGAGGTGAGTTCAGTTCATAATTAACGCTTTAATTAAACCTCTTGGTTGAGCCGTGACTCACTTTCCCCAGGCTGTGACCCCAAATGCCAGACCCCCTGTTTTGGCACAGCCCTTGGGTGCTGCCCAGCCTCACAGGAGTCTTGGCAGAGATTTCATGGACCACCCAATTTAATCAGCAGCCCCTTGTTTAAGGGCTTCATTAAGTGAAGAAGAGAGTGGCTGTCACCCCCTGCCACCCCAGGTGCTTAAGGGATTAAAGGATGCGAAGGAGCTTTTCAGTGTGAGCTGATGGAAGAAACCAGCTGGTTCCCAGCTCTGCTGTGGGACCCCCAGCTTCCCCCCACCCAAATCCACAGCACTGGAATCCCACCTGGATCCAGCTGGATCCCCTCTTCTTGCAGGACACCTTCACCCACCGTGCTGGGGCACCCGGGAGGGTGAAACCCCTGCGAGGGGAAAGGTGCTTTGGCAGGTGGTGTGTGCCCTGGCACAAGTGGATTTGCTTAAATCACTTTCTGAGAGCCCAGAGTTGACACCCACTCCCCAAATATCTCCTGTTTGAAGCCAGGTGCTGCCCCACATACTCCGCATTTGGTAAATCGGGGTTATTTATAGCCCCAGCTAACCAGGATTAGGTGTGCTGTGCCTAATCCCCCCCTTCCCCTCTCCTGCTGACCTCCATCCCGGCTCCTTGCCTTCGCCAGGAGCCTTTCTCGGGGGCGAGAGGAGATGGAGGTGCGGAGCCAGGCTGCCTGCCCATCCCCCTGTCCCTTGTCCCAGCCCCAATCCCCTGGGATGCCCAGCGGGAGATGAGGTGCCCGGGGCGGCCCTTGGCCGGGGTCTCTATGGCACAGCCTGGCTTGTTCCTCCGTGCCAGCCTGGTCCGTGGGGTCAGGGCAGTGCCAGCATCGTGGCCCTTATCCCCGGAGCTGGCATGTGCCCATCTCTCCCGGCGCTGCCTGGCTGCTAACAGCCCTTTCTGGTTTTTTTTCCTCCCTCTGCCTTCCCCGGGGGCTGCCCCACGGTAAGTGACTCGTTTGAAGGGGCGAGCGTGTCCCTGTCCCCACGGATGGATTTCGGAAGGGGGCCGGGTGCCGCAGGAGCAGGGGTTGCCTGGCAAAGGGCAAAGG